CAGGTTTGGAGTCCTAGCTCGGAGTCAGATGTGTGCTAGGGGCATGGAAAGGGTGTAGTAACCATGAACCGTGACACCAGCCTGGTTGTGTCTGTGCTGTCTTCCTGCCCTGAGATTTCTAAGATGTGGTGACAGACCCAGGGTGCCACATTACTGCTCTCACAGCTGCCAGCTGCTTCCCAGGATTCCTAAGGGAGTGGGAGGGGCACTGGAGGTGGGAATCTCCTGATAAGCGATTTCACTGTATTGCTTTATTCCGTTTGAACCCGTCTCTGTAGTCTCAGGTCCTTGTCACTGTTGGAAAGGATTAAACAGCACAATGCGCCTGAAGTCCCTTGGTCCTTAAGTGCCTTGCCAAGCTAAGTGAGTTGAGGAACCCTTCATCTGTGGAAATGCTAAAAATCAAGCTGAAACGTGATTTGTTCTGCTTCAGCATTTCCGCAAATGACTCCATTAGGGAGTGGATGTGGCTCAGGGCTAATTAGTTCTTAATGGGTGCAAAGTATCCTGGGAAGCTGGCCTGAAGGGTACCTGGGGGGACCGAGATGGGCCAGGCACTCACCGGGGGCCTCTGGGTGCAATTTGCTCCCTCTGGAGATGACAGGGTATGTTCTGTCATTTTTATTGGCAGCATTATTTTTTGTTTAAAATGGAGCTGGTCCAATCTAAACCCACAGAGGAACCTAAATGTGTGACATTTCTTGAAGAGAAATGTTGTTTTTCCTCAAAGCCCAGGCTGGTGGGTCCCAGTCCTGTCTCTGCTACCTTTGGGCTATGTGGCTTTGGCTAAGTTGCTTCAGCTTTTCACATCTCTGTTTCTTAAATAGTTTAAAAAGAAAAAAAGGATAATATTTGCATCTTCTGTATAAGGCTGACGTGTAATAGTACATATGAAAGGCTTAGCACAGTGCCTGCCAAATGGCAAGTTTTTGTTATTCTTATTTTCTACCTTCGTCTGTCAGTTTGTCTACTGTTGTGGCTTACATGTTCACGTGTCTCTGATTGCTACGCCACCAGTATTTCAAATGCCATGAGCACCACCCATGATGGGCAGGTTCCAGCAGGTCTTCCAGAGTAAAACAGACTAGGAACAAAGGCCTGGTAATCTAATTCTGAAAAGCACCCCATGAAAGCTTTGTGGATTGCAACCCTTATGGCTGGATGCAGTGAGAGGAAGGAGGGACTCACACCTGGTGGTGATGATGGAGCCCACATAGGAGGATGGGCAACCTGGGCTTCACTCCTTCGTACACACGGCCCCGATGAGAGTCGGTGGCAACTATCTAGTACTATTTGGGGATTTTACGTCTGTCATGGAAGCGAGTAGCCTTTAAACTTACAAAATGAAGCAGATCTCTTTTCTCTATTGTCTTTCAGTGACTTGGAGATGTCTTGCTTTGTGGGACTGACGGAGTCCCCATCAGTCTGACTCAAAGTAATTAAAGGACTTGCCACTCTTGTCCCTGCTGGACATTTGAAAATGTCATTTTAAAAATTGGGACAAAGGGGCCACTAAAGATGTGATTTAGAATCTCTCTTGCTACACATAAGGCAGGAACCAGATGCCCAATACTGTGCGGTTTCTTTTTGAAGGCAAAGACAAGAGCTCTACCCTTGAAACACATATGACCTGGGGAAGCATGATCAACACGCCTGATGCAACTGCAAACACTCTAGACAGTGAAAAGACAAGAGAGGGACTGTGTGGAGCAGGAGCAACCAGACCAGACCACAGAACTACTCCAATCAGGGGAGAATAATTCCCACGGTTATTTAAATTCAGGATGCTGATGCCAGCAAAAGTACTGGTTGATTTTCTGCTCATTTGCTGATGTGCCAAAAAGCTCGCTAGAGAAAGAAAACCAAAATTCATTCTTTTACCTGAAAACCAGAAGTTTGAGGAAGGAAAGGTCATAATACACTTCTCTCAAGTTTCATCTCAAATGCAAGCGTCTTAGGATGCTTCTCTGGATCTCTCTAACTGTCTGTGAGACCCTTGGGCCCCTAAACACCCTAATCCCAATCTGCCTTCTAGGCAACCACAGGAGACTGATGTCCAGGGTGCCTAGCGACGTGCATCCTTCTAGTCTCTGGATCGCAGTTTCCAGGTCGTGAAAGGACAACCCTATAGGATTCCCCGCTAAAATGCTGTGCCTTCAGGACACTTAGTGCACAACGAACTGTTCTGCTTGATGCTGGCCTGGCAGACGCACAGCCTGCGCTTGTCAAAACCCAAATAGACAACCCAAAGGGTGAACGGTAATGTAGACTATGGGCTGTACTTAATAATGTGTCCCTATCATTCCCTGGTTGTGGCAAACGTAACCTCGCACGCCAATGGCAGAAGAACCTGCCAAGCAGAGGGAAGGGGAGCATACAGGAACTCTGTCCTTAACTGCCCACCTTCTCTTGCCCTCTCCAACAGCTCGCAGAATAGCGTGTGTTGAAAACAGCAGGTGGCCCCGTGGCAGCCCGAGAAGCAGCCGCTGGGTGGGTTAGAGCACCAGACCTTGGGAGCCCGGAGAACACACCAGGCCTACACAGCCCCCCCAAACCACCGGCCCTCTACCCACACAGACAGGAAAAGCCTAAGCAGTTATGGAAGGAGAATAATTCGTGTGCATTACACCCATCTAGAGAAAGCCTGATTTGGATGGCACTTATTATTTATGGGGCTTTCCGTGTCTATTGACAGCAGGGTTTACACACTAATGAGCACTTGCAGCCACGTCCGGAGTAGCCTGTGGGAGGGCCGCTGACCCCAGGGGCTGCGCCAGGTTGCCCTGTGTTCACACTGGTGATTGGGGACAGGGCTGAAGAGGGGTCTTTCCTATTTGGGTTGCAGATGGCTTAGTGTCCGCGAGGCAGGCCTGTTTTCTTAGAGGCATGTGGCCATTTGTTCATGAGCAGGTTTTATTGCCTACAGATGGGGGTTCCTCAAAGCACCCTCTTGATTTAAGGAGCCCTGGCGGGTGAAGCTGCTATCCCCAGGGTTGTTGTGAAGGAGACTGTCTGCTCAAATAAAGAGTCTCAGAAACTCTACGGAGCAGTTATGCTTTGTCCCATAGGATCCCTGTGAGTTGGAGTCCACTCTACAGCAGTTTGGGGGCTGTCCCCGCCCCCAGGGAGGGATCTTATTTACCTGACCACCATTTTGTTAGTTTGTTTTATCAGTGGTGATGCCCACACAGTAGCAAAGCAGACCTGGTTAAAAAGGAGACATCTACCTCATCACACTAAGGAACCGTCTGCGCTGGCTTATGGATGAAGCTGATGTCTTGTTTCAGCTACATACGTATTTGGCCAATGGCTGCAGTTACAAACGGGATGGAGGATAATAATAATAATGTAATAAAGATATTCAAAAGAATAAATACTGCTTTTGAGTACTTACTAAGTATTAAAGCCCACTTAAACCACATTAACAAATTTATTACTCATAAAAACATTGTCAGATAGCAACTAAGAGAATTTGCTTAGAAAGCAGGAAATGGAGCTGAGCCATTTGGATGAATTTATGCAGGTTGGTAATTTGCAGAACTGGGATTCATATCAGGCTTCTCTGACTGCAAAGTGGAAGACACTACAGTCCACCCCCTTTCCTAATAAAAAGGGAATACCCACCCACTGCCTTCAGGCCGGTTCTGAGACTGGTCTCTGAAACCGTAGATCTTTAGGGAAGCAGACCGCCTCATCTTCCTACCAACCTTGTAGTTAACAGCCCAATGCTTCACCTGAAGCGACACCAAAGCTCCTTCAAAGTGGTCCCCTGTATGATTGAAATGCACAGTCTCAGCCATGGAATCAGGGGAACCTGGAAGAGAATGACGAAATCACAGCCTCCAGTCTAGATATTGCTTTGATAGAGTGCTGGACTCATTGGAAGGTAACCGAGCAAATGGTGCCTGGAAGCATGGTGTGTGTCCCCGTGGAGGGTGTGTGTCTGTGAGTGTGTGAGTAGAGGAGGGAGTGTGGTGGAGTGAGAGTATAGACATATGTGAGTGTATCAATGTGTATGAGAGTATGGGTCTAGGCGAGTATGTGTGTACATGAGTGTGTGAGTATATGAATGTGTATGAGAGTGTGTAAGAGTGTGGGCACATGGGAGTGTGGTGTGTGTAAGTGTGCGAGTGTGTGAGAGTAGGGGCATATATGAGTGTGTGGATGTGAGAGAGTATGTATATACCTGTATGTGTGAGTATGTGAGGTATGTGAATGTTGGTGAATGTGCACTGTGTGTGAAGGTATGCATTTGGGAGTGTGTGTGTGAGTGAATGAAGGTGTGTGAGAATATGCACGTATGTGAGTATGTATGTGTAAGTGAATATGTGTGAGAGAATATGGGCATGGGTGTGTGTGTGAGTGAGTGTGTGAATGTGTGTAAGAGTATGGACGTGTGAGTATGAGTGCATGAGTGTGTGAACGTATGTGAGAGTATGGGTATATGGCAGTGTGTGGGTGGGGAGAGAGCGAGACCAGAGTACCCAAGGGTGAGAGAGAGGAGTTTGCAGTCAGGCTGGGGGAGATGTGGGAAGTATTTAGATATTGGTGCTGCAATATGCAGAAGAAAGTGTCACAAATTGTCCAAGATAGACAGGTCCCTCTCCCTTTTCAGGGTTCTATCAAATGTGTCCTCCCTGAAAGACACCTCAGAGCTCACTGTCAGAAAAGGGGAGGCAGAGAGAGAGAGAGTGGAAATTGTTTCCCTGGGAAAGGTGGTCTGCTCTAGCACCGATCAAACAATTTGCCACAATCCATTTAAAATAAGATTCCGTTCTTTCCTGGGGCTTTGGGACAGAAGCAAGATCAATACTAAGGCAGTGTGTGTGTTGTGATGTGGAGAACTGAGTAAAGATATGCAGTCATCAGCCTCGCAGGGAACTGTGGGCACCCTCCCCGTGCCACTGGGAGACGGACAGGAGACGGCGAGGGGCAGGAGCCCGCTGTCCCTGCTCTGCTTCTGCTCAGCAAGTCAGAGGGCTCGTCTCTGTGTCTTTCAGGAATTCGCCGACTCAGTGTACCAGCTGGTCACACAGAAGTTCCAGGAGTTGACAGGCCACTTAACTTCCGTGCACACACGCCACAAAGCCCTGGCAGGAATCGTCATGACCAAAGGTAATCTGCCTCTCACCTTTCCTGTGGGAATTTCAATCTGTCAGAGAGAGAGAGAGAGAGATTTAGTGCTTGCTCTAAATCATGAGAACCCAGGGATTATCTCTGCCATACAAAAAAATAATAATCATGTTTTAAAGAATACGGAGAGATCAGTGACTATTTCCATGATGAAAGTTGAAATAAGGACCTAACTGGTTTCCTTCTTTCTAGATGTTTTACCACACTGAATTCTCGGGGTGAACGTACAATTTTGACTTTTCATAAATTGGAACCTTTTTTAGGCTAGGGCCCAAATAAGTCATGTCAGATTGATAGGTGAGACCAAATTTCCTCCCTCTTCTCTGTCACTGCTAGTACTCACTAACACCTGGAGCTTTTAATTCTGTCAGCTTCTAAAGCAAGAGTGCGTTCAGCCTCCCAACTGCTGTGCCTAAGGAAGTCCATGACTGGCGTGGAAATGACCTTCCCCAAGGGACGTTTATGGTCAGGTGTGTAAATCCCACAGGCCAAATGGCATTTCTTGGCCTGTTTCGGGAAGAAGGAAAGGAACGGCAACAAGCCCTCTTGTCTTATGTGTTTTGTGGTACATTTCCAATGCCAAACATTTAAGTTAATCTGATACAGAATTCAAGATCTGGAGTGATGGTTCCACTTTTCTAGGAAACTTAGATTGAGAAATTACTCATCGACTTCTCTTAGGGAAAAAAAAAAAGGTGTTCCACAAAAGCTTCGGAAAATAGTAGTTACAAAATCACCAGCATCTGTGCTGTTTTATGTGCAGGCAATTTTATTTATATGAACTAAATTTATTATGTGAAAATGAGACTTCACAAGGTAAAGCTTCACCAATTAGTGATTTATGAACAGTGAGGAATAAATTGCTGAAATTTACTTCCCTATTTAAAGGGAAGATTTAATAAACATATTGAGTTTCAAAAAAAAAAGATTGGGGAGAAAAGTACAATATTACCAATAGAAATCTTTTCAAATATTCATTTACTTAAATTTGATGCAACATTTAATTATAATTCTAGTCCAATCACTCAAAACAGATGTTGAAGAAACTTTAAGAAGTAGTGTATCTTATTCTAGCTGCTGTGTAGAGCACAAAGTTAAGCAAATAAATTTATTTTCAAAAACAGCACGATTCAATTTGCCCTCCTCCAGTTGTAGGTGGGATGTCAGTTCATTCACTCAATGAACTCACAAAGTTGTTTGCTTGTTTTTTTCATGTATCAACCTCAGACTATTTTGCAATCACTAGGAGAAGTATGGAATCGATTTTTAAAATTTAATAACGAGCCTTTAACATTTCGGTCATCTAAAAACAACAAACCCACTGCCATTTTGAATGACAGGAACCCGATAGGACAAAGTAGAGCTGTGTGTTAGTGTTTCCAAGACTAAATCTTACAGGCGTGACATCCCTTCGAGGAACTAGTGGGTTCAAACATTGTTTAATTTACATTTACCCGCCCAACACAAGACCCACTTCACCACCAGGGCCCCATTAGAAGCCATAGTGCAAATAAAAGTGGTCCCATTGCCATTCCAGAGAAACACTTTCTGGAGCCCTAATGGGGCCTCCTCCTCTCTCGGCTCTGCCCCACTGCCATGTTGACCTTGTGTCGTGCTCCTTGGTAGATCTGCTCTCTCCGGAAGCTATGGCTGTCTCTCACTGTATCCTCCTCGTGGAATCGAATATGCCTGTGAGTAGCATCCTTTTAAAATGTATGTGGGAGATCGCTTTGTGCCAAGTTAGATATCTGAACACTTCTTCCTTTGGTTCTCAAGTTTCTTCAGGAGTTTGTCTAGGCAGACAATTCTCACCTTTTTTTTCCTGTATTTTTTTTAATTGTATGACTATCTTGCAGCTAAAGTTTCTAATAAGAAATATTACAACAGACTGACAGTTCTTTGCTGTGACCAACCTGCTGCATCCTGTCCTAGGAGGTCTTCCGCCATTGCCTTTGTTCATCGTCGCTCTCTCTCTTTCATCCTGTTACCAATGTTTGTTTCAGTTCCCACAGTTGTGAACTGTAGATATAGTATCACAGTTGTGAAAGTAGATATAGTATCACAGACTTTTAGCATGGATTTCCTGTATGATTATGAAAGGTGATCCATGGAAAGACTTCCTGATATTTCTGTTACAAAGGACAAACACTCTTTTAGGGGAGATAGTCGAGAGTTTGCCATTGGCAAGGGACCACCCCAAAAATCAAATTCAGAAAGGCTTGCTTCTGTGAGAAATGTTCCAGTAGAACCCCAGACTTCCAGTTCACAAGTGTTCTTTCCAAGGATTCGCGAGTTTGCCATTTGAACCCGGATTTAATTTTTTAATAATTCAATGAATCTCCCTATTTCAGATCTATAGCTCAATCCTGCTAAAAGGAGCCGATACATATGGGCTAGGACAGTAACTGAAAGTATTAGGAAACTGAAAGAGAGGACGGGCTATTAGGGAGAGGAGGAATATTAGAGTCAGAATGACATTTCCCCTTTGAACTATTTCAGATATGATTTCCTATCCACCTTCTTAAAAGCAGAGAAGAATAGAGGAGACCAAAATGAGCACATCAAGCTGTTGCTTACAGATGAGGAAAGCACTCTCACTTAAAAAATGTGGCCCCATGAATTATTGATGAGCTCTCTCTTCACACTCTCATTATTCCTGGTTTCAGCGCTAGCGAGGAGACCTTCTTGTCAGTCAAGCTCAGTGAAAGGGAAGAAAAAATAAGACTGCTTATCAATCAAATCAAGTGTTTCATGTTTGTTCCTTTGATATAGAAGAGTGAGTTGCTAATGGGATGAAGTATCTGCTCAGCCCAATCCAAATGAAAGGCAAATAGATTTTTCAATCTATTAATTGCAAATATTCCTTGTCATTCTTTTATCCTGGGGGGGCAAAAGAATATAAAGGCATTGAATATCTTCATGAAAAATTATCATATTTATATCCAGTGGAAGTCTTTACAATGTTAACATTTGAGGACTTAACTAATAATCCTTTTATAAACTACTCTGGTCACATTACATTTGTTAATGTATAGCTTATATTGTGTAAAGTTTTACACATTTCAAAAAAGTTGTATCCATTAGGAATGGATATGACTGCATGTGATAAAATATCTGAATAACATTGATTTAAACATAAACCTGGAATCCCTGGATGGTACAAGTAATGAATGCACTTGGTTGTTAACAGAAAAAAGGCTTGACAAGAAACTTCTTAAAAATTAGCCACGGAACACATAATGAACACAGTTCTACTCTGCCATACATGAAATCACCATGGAACTGAATGACTTGGCATCACATGACTTTTATTATGGTTTATCATGGCTTCACATACGAGGGGGTACCAAAAAACCCAGAAAAGCTCTGCTGGACAAAGCTTTCATGGGATGCATTTTTCCCACTAGGCGAGCATCGAGAAACTCACTCTGAGTTAGTGCACCCAGTGGTGTCGCCTGGGAAGGTTCAAAATGGTCACAGTGAACTTTTTCATAAAAGCCATTTCACTCAAAGCTCGTTTTTTGTGAAGGCCAATTTAAGAGAACAGCATGCAGCTGTGAACTTGTGTTTCCTGTTAGGAAAAATGCCACAGAAACTGTTGTGATGTTGAACGCAGCTTACAGGGACAGCGTTATGGGGGGAAAGTCAAGTGTAGAGTGGTTTTCTCATTTCAAAAAAGGTGAAATATTGACTGATGGCAAACCTCTTTCTGGATATCCATCAACTTCCCCAATGGACAAAAATGTCGACTCTCGGTGCATTTGTAGTTCATTCCACCAGGTCAGACTGTTAATCAAGCTTTCTATTTAGAGGTTCTGAAAAGATTGCATAACAGTGTGTGACAAAAAAAAAGAAAAGGACTGATTGTGCCAGACGGGACTGGTTTTGCCACCACAACACTGCACCTGCTCATGCAGCCATCTCAGTGCACTAGTTTGGGGCAAAAACAGCATGCCTCGCTGGCCTCGTGCATCGTGCTCACCTGGCCTTGCTCCGTGTGACTTCTTTCTGTTTTTGTGAATGAAGAGGGGCATGAAAGGACAGCAATTTGACAACATAGAAGAGGTGACGAGAGAAACGAGGGAGGTGCCGTCAGCCATCCAAACAGATGAGTTTGAAAAATGTTCCCAAGAATGGAATCGCAGATTTGACAAATGCGTTAAACGGAATGGAGAGTACTTTCAAGTTGAGAAGGTTGTTTTGTAGACAAAAAAAGTTTTAATTCATAGCTTGGAAAAAAATTTCATTTGTGGGCCTCACCCCCTCATATGCCTATGTTGTTCGTGTTCACATGGCCAGCAGGTGGCTGCTGCCTCGGTTCGAGCACTTGATTTCAGGGACAGCAATTCTCCTTGCTGTTCTCTCTCCTCATCAGAGGGCAGCCACAGATCCCCATCCCATGGCCACATTCAGGCAGGAAGGAGGGGCTGGCAGCGTCCAGAGAACTGGAAAAGCGAGCGCTTCCCTTTTTAATCTCTGTGTAGAAGTGAAGAAGGAGGGGTTGCAAGTGGCTGTTCAATCAAGTAACTGACCACGAAGGCTCCAACGTCGGGGTGGGGTTGGTCTTCAGCTGTCCACCGCCCACTGTCCATGCTGGTCAACGACCCTGCTCTGCCTTCAGTCTCGTGGCAGCTTCCCCACAGGGCTCCTTCTCCGTGCTCCCTTCCCCCTCCCTCCACCCACCACCCCAGCACTTTCAGACCCTCTCCGTGCCTCCCCCTGCCTGCCTCCAACTCTGGTCACCCTGTTGTCACCTGCACCCTCCAGGGATGGACCAAGTCATGGTGGATGAAAAGGAAAAGGCCTTCCCTGGCCATCAGTTGGCCACCAACCCTTGTGTGGCCCTGTCACTGCTGGGGTCATCACCATCCCAGAGATGTAGTAAAACGCATGTAAAATTGTTCTTTGTTGTGGTGAGGTGTTGTCAGGTCGGTTCTGACCCATAGCGACCCTGTTTGAACAGATTGAACGCTTCCCGATGT